TCACCTCACACTCACCTGGGCCTTCCCATTCACTCACACTCACCTGGGCCTTCCCATTCACCTCACACTCACCTGGGCCTTCCCATTCACCTCACACTCACCTGGGCCTTCCCATTCATCTCACACTCACCTGGGCCTTCCCATTCATCTCACACTCACCTGGGCCTTCCCATTCACCTCACACTCACCTGGGCCTTCCCATTCATCTCACACTCACCTGGGCCTTCCCATTCATCTCACACTCACCTGGGCCTTCCCATTCACCTCACCCTCACCTGGGCCTTCCCATTCACCTCACACTCACCTGGGCCTTCCCATTCATCTCACACTCACCTGGGCCTTCCCTTTCACCTCAAGACTTTTCTGGAGATAGGTCTATGCATACATTTAAACCTTAACATTATTTCCCGTGCAGTGTAAGTCACGGTGCCAACCTTAAGCTGGCTCTGATGTTGGTGGACGCCGGAGTTACCCTGACCCAGTGAAGCATCATCCACAGCTTGACGACATTCTTCTCCAAAGTGGGTGCTGAGAAGTTGGTTCCCTGGGAGACGCGACAGAGGAAATGGAAGGGAGAGGACAGAGAAGTCCTCATCTAACAAATCGCTGTCAGGTACCCTTAAAACTACTTGGACTTTTTGAAACCATCAGGACCACTAATGCCATGCAAATGACTAGACGGGTTCATCTACTTATGCATGTCTCTGTGCCGGGTTAATTGAAAGCCTAAATCTTCTCTTCAACCCTTGACCTTCTTTGTTTTATTGTAGCTACACAAAATTTTGGCAACCCAGAAAAAACAAACAGACAAACAAACAAAAACCACAGAAGAGGTCTAATTTACAAAATAAGTTTAGCCCAAAAGTCCATCGTGACGGCTGTCGTTAGGCCACAGAACGCACTTTTTCATCAGAAGGAGAAAATGAAGGTGATTACATTCTTACGACAGATAGGTCATAACAGTTCCTACCAAGCTGACCAACCCTGTGGAAAACAGAGAAACCGTGAATATTAAAACCCCGTTTACTGCATTGTGAAGGTTCCTTTGATCTTCCATGTCTTAGAAACATTTCCAAAGTTGCCATCGGCGAAGCAATACTGCTTGTACCATTTTCAGTTATTATGTCAAATATGCATTTCCATGTTTCAAAACAGACTGCAAAACATGTCATTTAAAAAATGACAAAGAAGTATAAATTTTTATATCCTTAGTCACTTTCTCATTATTGAGGCAAATTGTTTCCAAATTTTCACTTTCAAAAAAACATGCTGTCGTGAATACTCGCATGACTGCTGCCCCCTTTTCTCAATGCCACCCAGTCACCATTGCATCTGACAGGAAACATGGCATCTAAAGAAGAGCCCCTCACTGACCAAGACCGAGACCCCTCTTCCCACACCTGGCGGGCGCAGCACCTGTGAGTGCCAAGGACAACCTCAGAACACCCCACAGAGCCAGGGACCACATGCCAAGCATCATGCCTCAAACACGTGGTTATTATTACTAGTACATCAAGGACCACTGCCACCACAATTTCCTAAGCATCTACCACCAGCCAGGTGCTGCGCAAGGATTATTTCTATTCTATACAACTTCTACAAATTAGGGGTTATTGTTCCCATGATAAACACGAAGGGGGCTGGCACGCATGTTCTCCACACGGTCTCCACCAGGGCCACGCTTCTGCGCGAGTCTCCCCCTCCTCGTTCTGCCCCAAACTGCCGAGTCGTTGGAAAATGGTCATTGGCTGAGGCTATCGACCCGCAGGAATCTATTCATTGAAACATGAACGTAATTTGTATGTGAGTCTGTGCAGTGGGACTTCACACGCTGCCCCCCAGCTTAGATGGGAGGTCTGCTGCCCTACCCCCCCCCGCCCCCCCTCGCCCCTGCAGCATCCAGAACAGTGAAATAAACGCTGAGAGCAGCAGCTGCCCCCGCTGCAAGAGGCCAGCCAAGCAGCAGGACACTGAGCCGATGATTTAGCTGAACATCCATATCCACTGACCTCCCCCCTCTAAGTATTTCAGCTTTCTGAAGTCTGATGGTGGGCGGCACTTTTCTCTAAGTCAGAAAGTAAAAGTCCTCCTTCATTTGACATTAATTGAGCAATATCACTTCCTTACATGTCTGATCAAAATACAGCCTGGAAAGCCTACAGATAATCTAACTCTCAGGGAGAAGGTGGAGAAGCTATTAGTGTATTACATACTCATTAACCGAGGAAAACATTCATCTTTCATGATCGCTGTTGAGCGAGCATCGGGAACTATTATTCTTTGGATTATTTTGTATGAACAAACCCAAATCCTTATGTTACACAAAGGCTAATGTCTTTGCTCAGAAGATTAGAATTAATTTATGGCTTCTGCTTTTGACTTAAGTACTATAAACATCGCCGTTGTTCTTGAAAACAAAGGCTGCTCCTGCATAACTTTTCAGATAGAGAAACTGAAATTAAAGTGCGAGGCAAATATTTACTGGATAAAGCAAACACCGGGGACAAAAGCACTCTGCGACACAGTGCCTTCTCATCCCCACTAATCCTTCTGTATTTCAAAGTTTATTTATTTTTACTGTGCTCTTGTGGGATTGTCATCAGTTATTATAACATAATTTGAAATTCATAAGAGAGAATTCATAGCTAATGATATCATGAGCTCTAAAATAATATTCAAGTAATACTGATGAGGATGGAAATGCATTTATCTAAACATGTTCTTTGCATGAACCAGAAAAAATGGAAATCTAATGTTACAGTTTTAACTCCCCAGCCCCTGCCAGTGAAGCCTGCAGAAAGACAAAGATTTAATTTTAAAACCTCAATGATGAATATTCTATTGGGGGCAACTCAACCAATCAAACAGTTATGCTGTCTTCAGTGTATCCAAAAGCGGAAGCACAAATCTGACCGTATTCTGACTCCTTCGCATTCCTACATTCCCGCTTGGAGGCAGGATCTAAAGGTGAGAAGTGGACCCATCTCTCCGTGGCTCACCATGGAGACGCAGCGCATCATTCCTCATTGAATGTACTTTGGCAGCGTCTGCGGGACTGTAACAGCAGCGTCTGGCCTGCGTGCAGGGGCAGGGAGTAGGAGTGGTGAGCACTGGCTATTTAAAAACCTAACTGCTGTCTGCAAGGGGTCCATGTCCTCCCGGTGGTCAGTGGACCACCCTGGGGCTGGGGACAGTCAGGCAGGAGTCATATGGAGGAGAGAGGCACCTGGGGCACAGGGGGTGCATTAACAGGGAGGGAGTCCAGTAGGCTGGGGAATAGACCCAGGAAGCACTTCGTTTGGTAAATACGGATTTTCAGGTGGGTGTGGGCACGGAGGTAAGACTTCTGGCAGTGGCTAAATTCAGGAATCAAGGTCTTAGGAGAAAGGTCGAAAGAAACGAGTAAGACCAGGGCACGCAAGCACTTTCTGTAACGAGCGAGAGGGTAACTATTTTGGGTTCCGAGGACCATATGATCCATCACAGCTAGTCCCTCCGCCATGGTAGCAAACAGCAGCCACGCGCAACAGCCGGAGAACGAGCGTGCCTGGGTCCCAGTCACACGTCGTTGTAGAAGCAGGCGTCCGAGTGGTCTGCTCACAGCCGCAATCTGCCCCCACAGAAGGACCACTGAAGCCGAGGGCACAGGCTCTCTGGGAAGGACACGTGGAGGCAAATGAGTACGATCAGAAGTTGGAAAACGTGGAATTCTGAATTGCTGTTCCGTTCAGTTACTCGTGCATACTGTATACAAGGCCTGCAGTCACACCGATGGTTCAAACCCTGGCTCTGGGCTCACCGTGAGCGGAACGGGGCAAGCAGGTCAACCTGTGAGCTCAGTCCCCTTGACTGCAACACGACAGTCACAGCTCCCACGAGGCCTGGTGCTCAAGAGCAGTCATCTGTCCACCCCGCCTCAGACCAGGTGCTCCTCTCGCTCCTTCCTAACCCCGCTCTCAGTCATACCCACGCCCCCGAAGGCCAGGCTGAGGGCTGGGGGGAGAGCGAGGCCTTTGTCCTGCACGCAGTGCACAGGAAGAGCCTGCTCCTGGTGGCCAGTATCATCGTCACCCCGAGGGAGGTCACCAAGGCGACTGGGCCCACGTGGAAAGGGGCCTGGAGGACAGAGTGGACCACCGCTGGGACTGCCTTTGCCTCTGGGAAGCACAGCAAAGGCACGTTTTCCGGCTCAGGAGGTTCCTCCGCCTGCGGACATGGATTGCTGGGTCCCACGGCAGCTTTGCCCATTGTGCCCGCACCACAGACGTACGCTGCTGACTCTGGTCAGACGTGATCTCAGTTTATGAATAAATAAAACCCCGCTCCTGGGAATCACTGATTGGAGAGGGAAAATCGATACCCATCCAGCATGCGATGGGCTTGGGCTTAAGGCTGTTTATCCCCGGAGCACACGGTAATCCGAGGTGTAAGCCCTCCTTTTTGCTTCCCACTAAAAGCTAAGTGAGGCCTTGTCCTTGCTTATCAGGCCCCCTTCTCCTCAGTGAGTTGATACTTCACAGGGAAGAAAAGGGAAAGAGAAAAATAGGATGGATGGACCGATGGCGGCAAAACCTTGATACTCTGTGAATGTAGATCGTGAGCAATGAGAACTCACTGCATAATTTACTCTCCATTGTGTGTGAAACTTCATAACAAATGCTTTACAAGTATGTATGCTTCTGGAAAACTCGACAAGGCTAATGTCAACCGAGATGCCGACAATGGCCCTGCAACGGTGTCTTTGGGAAGCTTTTAGTCTTGCTTGCGAGTTTTGTATTTTCCAACTTTCTGCAGGGGATATGTCTATTGCTTTTGTAATCCAGAAAACACATAAAATAAATAAATGAAGGAAGGATAGCAAAAAAAAAAAAAAGATGAAGACAAAGATTCATCAGATTGATTACAATGATTTTGTTGCCTATTGGCCTAGAGATGGCCAGGATCGACATCATCATGCTCATTAATATTTAACTCTTTCTTGATACTCTTGGGCATTCTTTCAGGGCACAAGCAGGTTGCTATAAAAATTTACTGGCTAACAAATGCCAACAGTGTTTGCTGAAATCAACCCTTGCTGGCTCACGTCGCCGGAGCTCTGAGTCTCCTTTCCACTGAGCCTGTCCCACGCAGACAGGTGTCTGAAGCTCCGACAGGCCAGGGCACCCCGATGACGGGGCCACTCTGGAAAGCCATGGCGCGTCCTGCTTTCCTGCTCAGAATTGGTTGGAGTTAAAAACCACCCCCAGCTCTGGCCAGAGTGGCTCAGTGGTTAGAGTGGCAGCCTGAGCACCGAAGGGTCTCAGGTCCGATTCCCGGTCAAGGGAGGGTGGATTGCAGGTTTGATCCCCAGCCCCGGATGGGGTCCATTTGGGAGGCAACCAATCGATGTCTCTCTCTCACATCAATGTTTCTCTCTCTCCCCCCCCCATCCCCTTCCTTCCACTCTCTCAAGAAATCACAGAAAAATTATCCTTGGGTGAGGAAACAACAACAAAAAACGAATCCATTATTTCCCTCTAGCTCCTCAAAGATGGGGCTCCTTGCTAATTGTGCCAATGTGGCCTCTCGGGAAGCACTGTCTGTTGATGTGGACAAAGGGCCCTGCCTCCCCAGATGTTCCTGATGCTGTCTGTCCTCGGCCATTGCTCGTCTTCCTGAAAAGTCCAATGAACAACCCTGGAAATTTGAAACTCACTTCCAAGACAGGCACGCGGGGAGCCTGGAAATGGGTCGGGGATTGATTTCAATGCTGAGCGCTCAAATGAAAGCATCATAGAAATAACTACTATCATCACCAAAGCTGGTGAGGATCTTGGCCGAATCTATTTCCAAGGTGGAGGAGAGTCACAAAGCCTGTGGCACCGGACTAGCACTGACATCGGGAGGAAAGGGGAAGGGCCACCACTGGTTTCCGTGGCAAAACAATACTGTTGAGAAAAAAGCTCATATATAAATCAGAGAGAAGCCCTAGCCAGTTTAGCTCAATGGATAGAGCATCAGCCTTTGGATTGAAACGTCCCAAGTTCGATTCTGGTCAAGGGCACATGCCCAAGTTGCGGGCTTGATCACCAGTAGGGGGCGTGCAGGAGGCAGCCATCAATGATTCTCTATCATCATTGATGTTTCTATCTCTCTCTCCCTCTCCCTTCCTTTCTGAAATCAATAAAAATATATTAAAATATAAATAAATAAATAAATCATAAATCAGAGAGAAGCCCAGCTTGAGAGCCCTCTTCACAAACACTACCCTGTTTTCATCACAGTTTCAGAGATACAGTCACTGAAGGACAGGCAAGCACCCTGTGTGTTGCTGTGTGCCAGGCATGCGTTCGATGTCGTAGATGCAAAACCAGGGAGGTCTGAGAATTACCTCCAGGTGGCGTGTGGAGGAGGGTCAGGCAGCCAGCGGGCAACTACCTGCGGTGATCAGAGGCACAACTGACGACGGTGGAGGCAGCCAGACGGAGGAGGCTCTCGGGCACACGGGGAAGGGCAGACCTTGCAGGGGGCACTGAATTCATAAGGAACCAGGGGCGAGAGCACTCTCGGGCGAGGACAGCACGTGCACGGACGGGATGTGTTGGAAAACCACGCCACGTTCGTGCTAGTGAGACACCACGAAGGAGGACAGTAGGCAGGGCCCTGGGGCGGGGAGAGGCTCACACCCTGAAAGTGTGCACCTGGAGTGGGCGGTCTGCGGGAAGAGCTGTCTATCTGTACGAGTCCCGCCTGCCACAGACCCGGGAGCTGGGAAGGCCAAAACCATGCAGAGGAGAGGAGGAGTGCAAAGATCTTCACAGTCCACACTTGTGAGCTGCAGTGA